ACCTACCTCCACGTTTAAATTTTAAAAGCTTCACAGGTGTTTTCTTACCTAAGGTAGAAATATGCTCAGCTTCCAATCACCCAAGGGAGACAGGAAATGATTCAAGGCCTTTGGTTTCTTTGTGGGCATATTTCCTTCTTTTCTCCAGGGCAAAACATCATCCAAAAACAGATGAATGAAAAAACAAAAAAAGATATTTCAGGTTAGGCTTGGTCACAGCACGAGCAGAAACAAGTCTGAAGAGAGATGTGTTTAATGGCCAGTGCATTTGTCCAAAGGAATCATTTTCACTGGCCAGGAGCCCAGTTAAACCTGAAAAATGTAAATCCAGAAAATCAGATTAACGAGCCAGTCATTAGTAAGGAAAAGACCCAGCTAATTCTGTGTTTAGCATGACGGATGGGCCTAGAGCAAATAATTGGATGACATTCATCAAATGTAAAATAAAAGATGTCACTGAAAGGGAAAGTGGTAATAATCTCTGGGATTTACAATGCTGGCAGATTTGCTTGTGAGGAAGAGAAAAGTTCATCAAAATAGATTAATAGTTGCTAAACTTTATTCCGTCCTTGTGTGGTTGCCAGGGAGCCACACAAATAATTACGGAAAGGCAGCAGATACATCAGCCGGCATCACCCTGATGCTGGGATGGCTCTGCTCCCAGAGGAGTCTCTTCGGCTTCTTTACGGCCTCCGATTAGTCCTGAAGCAGTGGAGGAAACCAGAGGAACTCCAGGTCTCCTGGGCTAAGCTGATGAATTTCAACGATCTATGATTCAGTTGCTCGGTACATGCTGACCCCTTATTCTGTGCTGGACTCCCAGGGAGGGACATCACCGTCCCTGGTTAAGGGGAACTAACAGACAGGAGTCATCTTCGGGCAATGAGCTCCCCAGCTTCTCCAGCTTCAGCTTCTGAAGTCAAACACCTGAAGCAAACATGAACTATGGTGCTAGGACAGCCGTGGGGCAGACATTCCCATTTGAGGATGGGTAGATGCAAGAAAGAAATAACACATCCCAAGGGAGCTCAAAAGCCGGTAAGGGGAACAACATTAACTTTGTAGCTCCAGAGAAAACCTTTGGTGCCTTGACCCCTCGCATGTGCACTTAGGCAAGGGTTGAGTCCCCAGCCTCCCCAAGACCCCACTCTTGTAGCTTTTCTAGGCACATCCCATGCAGTACTTCACCCAGTTGTAGTCCAGTGCCCGTAGCTCCCCATTGATGGCTCCATAGTTCTGGGATCTTGGGAGTGGCTCCAACCCTGTGGCTTTGCTGGGCATTGCCCTGGTGGGACACTGCTGTATCCCCACACCTGCTGCACTTCTCCACCTGGTCTGGGACTCTCAGCAGCCTTTGAAGCACAGGTGGAAGTGACTGGGCCTCCACATCCCGTGTGCTCTGTGCACGTGCACTGCTAGCACCAGCTGCATGCTTTCAGGTTTTGCTCCTGTGCCTTCCAGAGAGGTGGCCTGAGCCACACCTGTGTCATGGCAGGGAGTGCTGGCCTGCGTTTGGGATGCAGAGACTTAAGAGAGTGCCAGTAGCCATCCCTGAGCTCCAGTTCCTACCTGGACACCATTCTGTGCCTAGGCCTGGGGCTCCGGGCGTTTGATGGCAGCAGCAGGCATGAAGATCCCCTGAATGCTGTGTGGTCCTTCCTTCCTTGTCCTGACTCACACTGTCTGACTTCTTTCATTCCTATTGACCTCCTTATGAAATGTTTGCTCAGCCACACCTTGATGTCCTCTCCCAAACATACTTTTGATTCTTGCCATGGCCAAGCTGAGCTTCTTTCTTTTGTATTATAAACTTTCTATGATTTGTTTTTCTCGTCTCATCTTACTAAGCAGTCAAGGGACGCCATGCCACATCCTCAGCTTTGTATAGGTGTTTCTCCGGTTAAATATTTGGGTTCTTGGTTTACAAATCCTGCTTTCCATGAAGCAGTAGCCCACAGAAATTCAACATTCTTTGCCACTTTGTAGCAAGGGTTTCTGAGGCCTCGCTCTCCTTTTTGCTAAGATCGAATTGGCACCAGTTTCACAGGGCACGTTCCTAGCAGCATTCAGCTCAGGGCCTCTTAGATGGTGAGCAGCTCTAAGCCTTCGATATTGATCCCCTCTTTTGAACCTTCACCCAAGTCACCTGTGCTGTTCTGCTCATGGTAATGCAGGCTTTTGTTGGCATTTATTCCAGAATGATTCCAGCCCTTTTCCTTAGGACTGGAACTGCTGTATAGTTCCAAAACTGTGCATTTTAGTATTTGTTACCAAATATAAATACCTTACCTCTCAGAACCCATTTCTATCCCAGACTATTTCTGCTGCTCTAACAACATACTTTAGATTGCATTCTTTATATCCTTTTTCTGTTTTGCGTTTTCAAAATTAAAAAATAAATAAAAGGAAAAACACTTCTATGAACTCACAAGACTCACTGAAGTTTAAAGCACTGACTGGATCTCAGCAGGTGTAAATGGAAACAGGACAAAGAAAGGGTGCAGGAAACACGGTGATGGCTTGGGGAAACTTAGATGGTGCTTGGAGAACCTCTCATATCCCTGTTCTCCATGTGACTGTGTCATATCTTACCCCCTTCCTCTGCACATCCGAAGCACAGTTAATGTGTGTACTTCTGAATCATAAATACCCGCAGATTGTGAGAGAGAATCTGTTTGTGTAAAGGGCTGCAATGGCTGTGGCTGGGCTGAAGTCTCAAGGCCATATGGTGGACTGTCCTTGCAAACATACGGCCCTGTTCTTCAGCCCTTGGTGACTCGGGAACCTGAGGGGCACCTGCCAGTGCTGGTGAGGGGTCCAGCTTTGTCATCGGGTTCCTTTTGGATGATGGTGGAGTCGTTTGGAGGAAAGCTTCTTCTACCTGACCAGCATTCAGGGTATCCTGTGTCCTCTAGGACACTGATCTGCTTTACAAAGTGCATGTTTGGTCTCAGGGTATTCTGCGTGGAGAGCTGAATTTTCATTGTATGACAGGTGCCCAAAGGATGTAGTCTGGGGCATCAAAAACCTTATGGTGGGAATCTATCCCTTCTGGTAGGTGATAAAAGCATTGTAGAACAAACTAGAAAGACAAGTGGGAAACATTGTGAATGCATGAAGAGCTGATGAGTTGTACATTTTTTATTGATGAGGTTTAATTATGTTTAGAATTTCACCGTGATGTTTTTAAAGCGGTTACCATCATTGTAAACACAGACTTCAAAGAAACAGTCACATCTGGGGAGGAGGCAGGGCGTGAGGCAGTGAGGAGCGCAGAGGTGTGCACTAGTTGTTGCTGAAGGGTTCATGCTATGATGGTCAAAGTGCGGTCCCCAGATCAGCGGCAGCATCACCTGGGAATTTAGTAGAAGAGAAAACGAAACTGTAACCCAGTTCAGTTGAATTAGACTTTGGACCCAGCGTTCTGAGTTTAAATAGTGATCTTGATATATATTAAACTTTAAAACTGCTAATCTGGTTCTTGGATTGGCAGGTGCATTAACAAGTGTTTATTTGATATTTAAAAATAAAAACAGATCAAGCAAATAAATACATAGGACCATGTAATGACTGATGTTGACCGTGCATCTCAATCCAGAGATTATGCTTTCATGTAAGGCTAAAACCTGAAGCTGATTTTAAGAAGGAATCCCCCTCAAAACCAGACTCCTTACAAAATAGAAATAATCAGCATTACAATACAATAACAGCTTTAATGAGAAAATAGGATGCTGCCCTAGGACACTGCAGAATGTCAGGGAGAAGACTCTTCTAGAGAGAAGTCTCTCCTCTCCCAAGCTTTACAATCTAAGCTTCTGCACCCCAATTTTTCCAAAGCTCTGCTTTGTGCTGATTCTGACATCTGTGCCTGGCATCTTGGGGTACCTGCTCTGTGGGCTTCTGGTCTGTGCAGAGTGAGGAGGAGGGTGCATGGGAGAGGACTTCTCTTGGAGAGAGACTGCTGGGTCACTTCTCGTAGAGCTGTGGCACCCACTCTGCTCCCAGCAGTTGCTGTGGACAAAAGCCAGCTTAGGGCCAAGGGGAAAGCCTGGCCAGATGCCAGCATGGGGCCTCTGTGAGGACAGGACACAGGCCTGGAATACAGGCCTCCTCGGCTCAGCAGCGTAGGGGCTAATGTTATCCCACTGTTTTCTCTGAACAGGCCTTGCTCCCTTCTCCTGTGGGTGTTGATTTCCCTTGACTTAGGGTGACTGGGCTGAGGGCAGCCATCTGCAGGTCACTGTCCCTTTGGCAAGAACACTGCAGTAAGCCAGGCTGGGGCACTGTTTCTTGGTGTAGGTCTCAAGTCCCCTAAGGAGTACCCCACTGCTTCCAAAGTGAGATTAAAGGGTTTGTCCCTGTCACCCCTCTCCTGCACCCCCAGCTAGAAGACAGCAGAGCTGTGACTCAAACCCAGGACTTGTGAATTTCAAATCCAGAGCCTTTTCTCTAGCATCTGATTGCTTTAAGCAACACGTACATGGAAAGAATCAGTAAATGTCTGCTCCATACATGGCTTTATAAATATGAGGAGGTGGGAGCTGGAGTTCAATTTCAACATAATGAGACTTTTGAGCAATAGTAATTATTTAGATACAGAAAACATACTTGGAGAATTGTGTCAGGGTTGTGGTAGATTAACAAATTCTTAAAAATAGGCAGATCATAGGTGCCGTCTGTGTCTGTGGTCTCTGTTGGTGGCTGCAAACACTTATTAGGTATGTGCATGTGCAGAGCAGTGATAAAATGCAGAAATCAGTTCATGCACAGACAGGTAACCTCAGCCAGTGGGAAGGGTGTCACACCCCCACCTGTGTCAGCACCACGGATTTTATAGAAACTCGGGTTTTGTGGGATCAGAACCTCAAAGCCAGCCAGGGGACATTCTCTGAAAGGTAACCACAGACCTAGGGTGGCTGTTGGTAGAGAGGCTGGGACTTCACAACCTGCCCACAGCCCGTGGTCCCATGTAATTTCTTTATGTTTCTCCCACAATCTAGGTCACAACAGGCGGAAGAGCCAGCTACTATGTGTCCTATCGAAGAGAAGCCTTCGCTCAGATAAAGCTGCCCAAGTACTCCCTGCCGAAGGTATTGCTTGGCTTGAACCACTCACTGTCCTGAGCCCTGCCTGACAAACTGAGGGCTGGGCCAGCTGCCGCGGTGCATGGAGGGAGGCCTGACATGGTTGGGAGACTCCTGGTACTCAGCCTGACCAACTTTGGAGTAGTTTGGCCACCGCTCTTGTTGTTGATCCTGGGTTCTGTGTTCCCCTTCCGACAGGCCCTCAAACATGTGTTGTGGCCTTGGGTCCTTTCCCAGGGGTGGTAGTGAGCAGAGCGTTGGCTTCGAAATCTGGTCTGAGACCCCTCCCTTTGCAAAGTCCTTTTTTGTTTAATATCATTTTTACTAGCATGTGTTGGCAATCAATGATGATACTTTCATCAAGGGGACCTGGGATGTGTACACTGCAAATCTTAATTTATTTTTGGCCCCTTCCCTACCCTCTTCATTCTTACCAAATAGAACATTGAGTTCAGGCAGGAACGTAGATGCTTCCTGCATATACTCAGATGTGCACAGGTAAGCCTGGCAGCTTTGCTTTTCCCTACGCTTCCTTATTTTAAAGGTAAATATAAACACACTGTTTATGTTTCCCCTCTTTTCTACTACTGTAGTTAAAATGGGGTGGTTTCCTGAAACCACATATCATGTGGTGACATTTTATCTTCTCTGTTGGAACACTATAAAACTTGTTGTGTGGACACAATTCCTAGTGGCCATAGGCTTTGGGAGACAGAGCTTATGACTGCAGCATGAACAGGATAGGATGAGTGGCTGTCACTCAGGCTACAGAGAAGTTGAGGCACATATCAAGTGTCAGGTGGCAAAGACCTGGGCCTCTGAGCTGATGGTAAGAAACGCATTGTGAGGGGCTAAATGTGTGCAGAGACTAAATGATCAGGAAATAAGACCGTGGGTAATTTTCCATCCTCTGGAGTTTTTATTCTTTCAGCTTTTTATGCATGTACACACTCATTCCCTGGTTTGTGTGTTCATTCCCTCTTTAACATAACCTTCGATCTAGTCTGTCCTCCACTTAAGGAGGTACTGTATACCAGCATTGAACTAAATTCTATGGATAGAGGAGTGAGTAAGGCACAATAGGTTGCTGCCTTCCTGAAGCTTATAGTCTGGTAGGGAAGGTAGTTGCTAAATAAACTACTGTAGATACAGAGAATGTTATTGAAATTTAATGAACTGGAATAAAAAGGCAAGGAGTTAACCCTGCAAGCAAGGGTGGGGAAGGAAGCTGATTGGGGATGCTGCGGCTCCTTGGTAAATCGGAGGAGGGGTGTACAGCACCCTAGGAATGAATGCCCAGGTCTATGGATGCTTGAGTCATTCATGTAACACAGTGCAATACTTCTATGTGATCTACACATTCCTTCTGCATAGTGTAGATCACCTCCCAACTGCTACTCTAATATGAACACTATGGAAAGAGGTGTTGGACTGTATTGGGTAGAGAATGACAAGAAGAAGGTCAAGTCAAGTCCATTGAATACATCTACAGTTCTGTCTACACTTTGGATCCACAGGTATTTGAATCCATTCATGTGATACGTATAGATACATAGGCCCAACCATGCCTGGGCAGGTCCTATTTTAAGAGAGAGCATGGTTCATTTACCCAACTGAAAAGCCATCTTGAGAGACTGGGCTGCAGAGAGAGGTAGAGGAGCTCATGATGCAGGTAGGACTCATAGTAAGAAGCATGGGGGCCATGAGAGCCAATCTCTGCTTTTCTCTTCCTTCCCTATCATTGTCTTTCATGGAACCATTGTAAAAAATTATCGTTGTCAAATACGCCCGCCAAATATGCTCAGCTAAAACAGGAAAAGTATATATCTGCCTGGAGAAAATTATAAAGGGAAAGTTCGGAGTCATACTTTCCCTAAAGATAACCCATCCTCCCAGTAACCTAAGGCCTCCTCACATTGGCCTAAGAAATGAGTTTCAGGGGCTTTCCAAGGCATCTCACGGTGTAGGTTCATTTTGCCTCTGTACGTGGGCATATTTTATATATTTTTAGCCTTCTTAGGAAAACAAACAACTCGCTCCCCTGGGGTATGTGGCTGTGTGTGAGGATAAATGAGTTCGGGAATTGATTACCGCCCTGGAGTGCTCCATCACTGATTATCAACCCCACGGCTGTGCATTGTGGGGGGTGTCATCCCACCCAGGCACCCCCTTTTGAGTACTTTATCCAGAGCAACTTCTCATTAATATGAGGGCTGCTGGGAAAATAGCTGGGTAGCTATCGATCCCCTTTATTAGCTGGTGTTGGCCCAGATTTTGATAGTCGAGGCTGCTGAGGTGCAAGTGTTGGGTAGAAGGAGCTTGGGTTTGTCCCTTGTTTAAAAATGGGAATGGCATTTAGACACGCTGCTGCTATTCCATGTAGCACGGTGGCTGCTGTTAGGTGTCTCGCTTAGAAACAAACGTATGGAAAAGCTCACCATCACTTCTGTCCTCAGCTCCAGGCTTCTCTGTTCAGGGCGCGTGCTATGTGATTTGGAGTACTTTGCAGAGAGGGAAGTGAGTGTCCTTCATAATGAGCAGCAGCTTTGTGTTGAGCCCTCTGTAACCATACCTGGGCATCGGGGTGGCACTGCCTTCAGTTCACAAGCATAAAAAGCATAGTCCTGGGGAGGGAGTGGTGACAGGTGACAGGGACCAATGGCGGCCCTGAGAAAAGCACTTAAGCTTCTGAGTAGATACCCTGGGCTTCGGTTCCAGCTCTACCACTTACCTATCCATGAACTCAGGTCTGTGAAGTGGGGATTAAAGCACCATGACAAAGTCTGAGCATTCATGGAACGGCCTGCTGAAATGCTCAATAAAGCTAAGGGATGGTTGTGACCTTGGGAGTAATCACAATGCTCTCAACCTGCCTGGTGTGGAGCTCTCTGTTCATGATGGGATCACCTCTCAGCAGGGTCTGGACTCAATATTGCTTAAGACTTTCACTTTGCCACTCTGAGTGGTACCCACTTCTGTCATTCAGTGTCTGGGTTTATTGTTAGCTTACTACTCTGCTAATCATTCTATGGGAGGAAAACATAGCTTTTTGCTTGTTGTTTGCTGCAAGGGTTCAGGCTGTTAGTGTGTTGAACTTTGACAGAGCCCAGTGCCGCTGGAAAACAGCGGAGGGTAGGGAATTTCCTATTGCTGGAAATTGCTTGCTGAAAGCGACTACCCGCAAAGAGCCACTCCCATCATGAACTCACATGTCTGCGTGGTTTACCTGTAACAAGACCAGATTCTCACTGCTTGTCTCACAAATGATAGGCAGAGCTGTCCTCGTGGCTAATCTGGATCAAATGCCTGAGAATTTGGCTTGACTTTAAGTAAGTTTGGCTTTTCTCTTACCCTTGGCCTCTGAACTTTGCCTCATGCTTGAGCTTTTGAAAGTCCTGAAGGCTTAAACAAACAGTGAAAAGAGAGCAATCTCCCTTAACAGCCCTTCTGAGAGTCACTTGAACCCAAAGAAAATGACATCCTCTTCAGTCAGTTCTTCCATCATGCACCCTGCACACCACTCCCTCTCCAAGTTCTTTCTAGGTTTATTGTACTTTTTCCAACAAAAGCAATTCTTTCCCCACCTTCCTTCTGAGGTGCTCACAGATGTGATTGGCAGGGTATTCTCCTGCAGTCATCTTCTCTTACCTAAGTCTTAGTAGACTGTCGATATTTGACAGTAGAATGTATTGTTTCCTACTTTTAATGATAAAGGAGAGAAGAGAGCAATAGGGCTTAGACAATTTATTACCATCATGGTGACTTTTGATTTTACACTTCCACAAATACTGACACATCCTTCTGTGCTGTATTGCACACTCCTTGAAAAACCTTTTCTCACTTCCTGTTCACTCTTCAAGCTGGTACTAGCCACCCTCTACCCTCCCACCCACCTGGCTTCTATTTCCCAAAACAATCCTCTAAGCCATTGCTACCAGTGGCCACCTGCCTCCCAAACCTAAGGGGCATTTCTGCACTGTGCTCATCTCTCTGGAGCATGTGACACAAAACTGAGAAATCCATCCTGGATCCTCTTCCCTTTGGCAGCATTTCATTAGTGTTTCCTTTTCGAATGCCCTCCCTCTGACTACTCGTTAAGTACAGGTGTTCCTAAATTCTTGCACTCACATATTCTCTGGTGAGAGTCCTATTTCTCACACAGGTAAATGCTACATCCAATCCACAGCCTGCTTCTCTCCATGTACTCTCCACATACCTAACTGCTTATTTGGAGGAAACTGGAATCTTAAAATAAAAACAAAAAAACCCCTCCTATGTCACTAGCCTACAACTGACTCCTAGCCTCCAACCTGTGTTCCTTGTACCTGATCTGTCTCTCCTCTTAGTGTCCCTGCTCCATTATTTATTCTGTAAGCTTTTGTTCTATGTCTACGATGAGCCAGCTACTCTGTGAATACTAGAGATAAAATGATAAGGGAGACAGTTTTCTCGCCTCTAGAGTCTCATAGACCAATGAGAGAGGGAAGACATCAAGTAAATAATTGCACAAGTGATTACTTAACTGTGACAGGCATGCCTGGTGTAGACAGAACAGCAAGCTGTGTAAGTCAAGTCTCCCAAGCATTGTAGATATGTACACCCTTCTGCGGATCCCCCAGTATAATTTACCCTTTAACATCTCATCAGTGCCTTTCACAGGAGTCTCATGAAGGACCCATTTCCTTAGTTCCACCCTTCAGGCACTATTACCTGGACTAGGGCAGTAACCCTGTAAGCTTTCCTCACTTGTGTTTAACATTGCCCGCTCAAATCCACTCTTCACACTGGTTCTACAATGAAAAAGATCATCTGAAGAGCTGAATCCTCTCCAACCAAACCTCTGCATGGAGCAACACTGAGCATACCTTTCTCTTACTTAATACGTAAGAGAAATTGTTCTACCTTGGGAGAAAAGGTTAGGTGCCCCCAGAACTCATGTGATGGGACCCGCCCCTCTGTGTCTTCACTCCCTGCAGAACAGAACTGCTTTTGGGCTGTTCTGAGCTCCACACATTCACATTCTTGTAAGCTGCACCTTCTATCTTCCTAGTAAACCTCTGCATTTCACTCACCACATTAATGCCTCTAGTGTGTACTAGGTCAGAGCTGAGAAAGGCCAGCAGATATGTAATGTCTCCCCATTGGGCATCTTTTTGAGAGTGGGTTCTACTTTGTTTCTCATTTCTTTGATGTAGCATTTGGCACATAGAAAATGCTTAATAATCAAGGGAATTATACAATGAATTAATCTATAGTAAGCCCAGATGATAAGAAAATATTTCAAGAATGTGGAAACATTTTCACCACTGTCCTTCTAGGAAGCCACAGGTTGGAGCTTTTACAAAGCAGCTGATAGTCTCTTGAATTATCATTGGCAGGGTAGAAGAAGGTGTTATTTATCATTGCTTTCCCCATAAAAACACTTACTTGATTTATTTTATGTTTTTAAAATACAATGTTTTATAAAATCTCAATCTGAATGTGCTCCCTGCATTTTTCCTCCTTTGATTTCACCTTTATCACCAGATGATCTCTCTCTGTTATTAAGACCACTGAGGAAGAAGGAGCCATAGGCCTTAGAGGTAGATTCAAGTAGCTAGAGTCAAGAAAGAACTTCATTACTGCTTCAAACCCTGTTGAGCCAACTTTCTTTATGCACTTCATTTATTTTTGCAAGCTAAATATTGTAGCTGTTATTGGCTGACCTCTGTTTAACCATAAATCCTATTTAGAAAGGGATTATGGAGTTCAGGGTTTTTCAAAGGTGGTTCCACAAGGTTTAGCTATACCTGGAATCATTTGGAGGGCTTATGCAGATGGTAAAATCTAAGACTCCACATCACACATGCTGGATCATCATCTCAAGCCGGGAGACCCATGAGGAGTATGCATCCTTTTGAGACCTTCAGATGAACTTGGGCGTGGTGGTGCATGTGTGTAATCCCAGATACTTAGAGGGCAGAGGCTTGAGGCCTTCTTGAGCCCAAGTTTCCACATCAAGTGTAGGACATATGGTGGGAGCCTGTCTTTTAATAAAGAAAAGAAAGAAAAAGAACAAGAAGAACAAAAGAAAAACAAAAAGCTTTAGTTACAAGCAGAGATCTCCATGTTATTTTTTCAGGTAGTGATACTGCTATTCTTCCTGGACACATTGTTGAAAAAGGACTAAGATAGTTTGGGATTTAAATTTTAATAATGTTAATTGTTAAGTGACTTTGGAAAGCTAAGGAATTTTCAAGCAGATAAAGCCCTAGAAGCTTGGATACCAGAGAGCAGCCTCTTATCCTGAAGCCTAGATACTGTTCCACAGGTGACTCAGCCCAGAACAGTGTTTACCAAATGCGCACTCACAGCAAACCTGGATGCCTCTAATTTTGACCATGGCCTGGTGTTTTAAGTTGTTTATTTCCATTGCTTTTACATTAGCTTAGTCTCAAATAACTTAGCTCATTCATTTTTATGACCCAAACATCTGGGGAAAACCAGGCATTTCCATTGCATTTTTAACAGGGTAAGTGAATTTAATCTGTATTTCCTGCAGCTGCTCTTTCCTCTCCTACTGTGTTCTTGGGCATTCTTTCTACGCCAATACCACACGATTTCCCCATGTGGTTTTTAAGAGGAAGGCTTCTTTCTATTTTCAAGCAGCTCACCAGGAACCTGTAATTGTACAAGATGTGTAAGCACAAATGAACAAGCGAGGTCTTAGCCAAGGTGACTTAGAGAGTTCAAGTACACAGGCTCTGTGACAACGGACCTTCAATAAACCATCTGGGACTTCTTTTTCCTACTTCTCCCCTTTCAGTTGCCCCAATTAAATGGCATTATTCCTTTATGAGTCATTTTAGAGGAGCTCTCTATGGTGCTGACATTAAAGACATCCCTGCTCCTTTTTACTTGGAATGATTTCTAGAAAATGTTGGTCAAATAAACCAAAGACAGAACTCAGTCTGATTATTAACTTACTGTCAGCCACAATTCTCAGGGATCTGTCACAGTGTTTTCCTCCACAGCAACAAAAGTGGTTCTCCTTCTGGTACCACTTTTTGGTATATGGAACTGCTTATTTAAAAATACACAAATTTTATGCCAAGATGTTCTCCTGACAGTGTGAGTTCCGTAGGTTAGGGGCTTGAATTCCTGATCATCTTTGTACAGTACCTAAATATGCAAATCACCTTTTGTAAATCTTTTCAAGATTTTATTTTAGGAATCACCCAGACCAAGATTATAAACTGAAGTGACTTTAGGGCTTAGACAGGTCATGTGAGTGTGTAATTATAATATGTGGACCTGCAGAAATGAGAACCCGGTGGTTCTGACTTCACCTAAAACACCAGGGAGTCAGGGAGTCAACACAAAATATGGGCAAACTAAAGCCCCGGGATCGTGGTTGAGCCTATGGTCATCTGTTTGAAATCCCTGATTCAGAGGCTGTATTTCCAAAGGTAAGAAGCTAACCACTATGCTAGAGTCAAATCCTAGAGGCTTGAAACCCAGCTCTTCCATCTATAAACCATGTAATCAAAAGCAAAAGTCCATATGCCCTAGTTTGTTCTTCAGTAAAACAAAGATAGTCATGCTATCTTCACTGCAGAATTATTTTAATTTCTATTTGAAAAAAGACATTAATATGGCTTAAAAAGCATCCAAATGTTGAGCATCATCTTTTTCACCTTGAAGGGGAAGAAATTAATACAACTCAACAGTCACACAGTTGACATGACAGTGCCTTTTTTTTAGTGGGTGTCTTTTATATCAGTGATGTTCAAATATAAGATAAATGTATATGCAGCAGATTATCCCTCAGTTTTTACTTCTAAAATATGACAGAGAACTGTGGACATAATGCAGATCCACATGGGGATCACTGCGGTTGAAGCAGGGAAGGGAATCTAGAGCCTGACCCATTGGCTGTGGCTGGAACTGGAGGCTATAAGGAAAAATGTGTGAACCACTGCACTACAATATTGGAAAACAAAAGTTAAGCTCAGAAGAAAGCTAGGACTTGTCTTCTTTGCATGTGTGAGCTTCCTCTAGCAAGACATGTTAGCACTTAACACTAATTTTCAGAAACAAAAATAAAAAATGAAAGCGGATGCCGGGGAAAGCACTACCCTCCAAAGCCCCCAGTACCCATGTTCCTGTCAAGCTCCTTAGCAAGGAGCAGAAATCATAAACCTTGTCCTTTATAGCCTTAGGACTGACCGCAGATGGTGTCTCCTTGCCTGTAGCTCCGATGTTTTTCCCATTTCAAGAGTCATCGTGATTATTCGAGACCCCAGGGGGCAGGGCGGGATGGAGAGCTGCTGCCTCACAGCACTTCTGTCTCCTTACAGGACATGCACATCATCAGCACGGATGAGAACCAGGTGTTTGCAGCCGTGCAAGAGTGGAACCAGAACGACACATACAACCTCTACATCTCAGACACCCGCGGCATCTACTTCACGCTGGCCATGGAGAACATTAAGTGCAGCCGAGGCCTCCTGGGCAACATCATCATTGAACTGTATGAGGTACGGAGCCCAAAGGTCCCTCCCCTGGATGGGCCCCTCTTTTTCTTCTGTTTTAGTGGTGTAAGCACAGGTATTGGAGTCTTGAATTTAGATACTACTGGTACCATGTGGTAGTTGTGACTTAAGAAAAAGGACATAACTGCACTAATTTCAGAATAGTAGAGAAAAAATAATGAGATGCTTGTGAAGTGAGGGATGATCAAGCTAAAGTATCTAGTGTGATGGCTGCCTCCATAGAGTTGGTGTTCTTGTATGTATAAGCATTAATTCAAACCAGAAATGAAAATCCGGGACCTTGAAACCGGTGGGTTTTAAAACTCTACACCCCTTCTTATGGGCTGGAGGTCCTGGAATGGTAATATTTATATTATTAAGATATTTGGAAAATTAACTTTATGGATACATTTTACAGGAAAAAAGGCAACTATTACTGGCAACATGCCAGCAAATGCCACCAAACACCAGGTGTGGAATATGAAGAAATGCCTTGATGTGAGAGTGTCACTTACATGGATATGTTTTTGTCTGCTTTTGGATTTATTTCTTTAAGTTAAAGAATAATCACTTTCATGGAACTAAGTGATTTCATACAGGAACTAGAATTTAAAAAACTGGTTTCTAGTGACCCCAAGATGTGGTGTTTTTAATGCCTGAATGACAGTGTACAACACTTGACAGTCCTGGGCACAGTGAGGGAACTGATAGCAGATTGACACAAGGAAAGAAAGTGTGTCTTTAACCCAGGGCTGGCAATCAAATCCACACCGGTTTCAAGGACTAAAATCATTCCTGGGAGGACAATTGATTCTTGTGAGCAGTGGCCTCAGATGGCCCAGCTGAATGATTCCCTTATGGGTTTTCCTGTCTACAGAGTGAGAGATGTAGAGGGGCTATTGTGAGGGTTTCTGCTTTACAGGGTGTCCTTAGTAGTGCTTAGCAAAGATCCAAAATCCCAGCACTATTAGCTCCGTTGGCTACTGGGTTACTAAGAGTGGTAGAAGTAGTTAAGATCACAGTCATTCTCTTAGGTATTGGAATGGTAACAAAAAGACATGACATGAATGGAGGTACATTCCAAAACAAAAGGAAGGAATGCCACTGGGTAGAAGAATAAAATCAGTAGAAACACCCAGATTTCATACGACACAACTGACACATGAAAAAGTGATTTCCTTTAACAACAAAGTTCACCTCAGGAAATGTCCCAATTTTTCTCTAGAGTTGTGAAGAATGGTAGCAATGACTAAGGAATATAAATAGTTTTGTGCCAGGATGCAGAAATATACCATTGTTACTAGCAACAAGTTACGCCATGGGGAGGGTTTCGATGAATGTTGCCAAGACTGAGGTCATTGTTGTTAGCCCAAGTGAAGGTATAGATGTAAGCGGCATATCCATGGTCCTGTGATAAGACCCAAATAGGAGATCATCACCTCTGCTACACATGACCTTACAGTCAAGAAGTCAAGAAACCTCTGTCTCTGTAAGCTTGTTGATTGATGCAGAGAGCAGATTTTCCTCTGTGCTGTTCCTTGTCTTAGAAAGGGTGCCTGAAATTCCTTGGTCATTTAGAACCTTGAAACACTGTGATATGAAGTGAGGCATGAATCAATATGAAGGATGTGCTCAGATACATAATACTTTTTCTTGCTGAAGTTGGTCTTAAATTTTCAGTCTTGTTGGGGGGAAAATGCATGCCATGATTGCATTTATAGAGAAGCAGGATCTACCAAGCTGGCCAACCTCTTCAAAGACAGCTCTGTGAGCTGCTTCTCCATTGAGTTTTGCCGAAATTGGACTCGTCTGGACTTTGAGTTCAAGCTCATGAGGAAGTCAGTAGAAGTATGTGATTCTTGTCTGTGGGGATCTTGCAGTCCAGGTTGTTGGTTCTGCAAAGGTCAATAAACAAAGCTATTTTTTTTTACCTGCCCCAAACTGAAACTAAATGAGACAGAGGAAAACAATGAGACACATAGAGATCAAACTCAACTCTATCACTTTAGATTTAGATAGGAGGAATTGCATTCCTAATCTTGTGGCTCAGAATTGGAATCATTCACTTCACACAAGCAGAAATGGTAAAGCAGACGTTCACCTATAGAAGCTTTTTCCTGTAACTGCACAACACTGAAGTACAGAATATACAATTAGTTGGAAGGCCCCTAAAACAAGAAAGGCTGGTAAGAACTGAGCATGCCGTATTCTTTTTCTCAAAGTTTGTGAACTTATCAGTTCTTTTAAAACACGGAGCACCAAGTGAAGAAGCGAGAGGTGTCCAAAATGTTAGGAATGCCCTGAGCCAGGAACTGGACAGGTGGTGTAGATTTCTGATGTAGTGAACTCGTCATTCTAACTGAATAGAATAGGGTATTGGTCAGGATAAGAAGGAGGGCTGGATCCATAGTTGGATTTCAGATTCCAGAGATCATTTAATGACAAGTGCATATATTTGTGACCATGAACATACTGAGGATTTGCGGGAAGTAGCGCTGTTTTGCACCTGGAGATACCTTCTATGGTTTGGAGATACAGCTCAATTTAATTGGTCTCTATGGGTCATTAGAATTTAACCTTCTTTACTGGAGCTTTTGTACAAACTGAAATTCTGTGCCATATGGCCAGTTAGCAAAAGAGACTACAATTTTTCTGGGTTCAACGTGCCCTTGAGTAACACAGCTGGGAAAATCAGGAGGTTTTTGCATTTGGTTCAGCTAAATTAATACTTTCACTGAGTGTATTTTGTTTGGTGAAAAAGAACTGGTGGGTGAGATTTCCAATCTACTGAAAGGATATAAGTGATCCTACTGTGCTTACACATCAGGGCCTAAATTCTTTTAGAGAAGCAATTTTGCTGTGTTGTGAGAATGGAAAACAGTGATTCCAAGTTGAGGAATTTGGAGAAGTTTACAGATGGGCTGGTGTTATAGTCAGGGGTTGCACACAGAACAATTAGAATCAGGATATATAGTTTATAATGTTATTTTTGTGATGGTCACCCAGAGTTAACACAAGAAAATGCAAAAAATCTATCTGTAGCACCAGAGACATAGAATATGTATTCAAGGGCCTAAATCCCACAGCAATGTCCCACATGAGTCCAGATGAAAACTCAGAGCTTATGACAATGCCTCCCACGAGTCCAACTGGAGATCCAGAGCCCACAAGAAGGACTGACATCAATCCCTTTTACGGATTCATGCTGGAAAGGCCCAAAGCTCAGTGGTGGAAGCCAGAAAGTCCATGCCAGCGGGGTGAAGGATCTGTGCTAGTGGGATGAGGGTTCTACGCTGGTGCCAAGAAGCCACACTCACGACAAAGACCAGGACTGTCTTGAAAAGCACCACAGCCATCCTCAGCAACACAGAGGCTCCGAGCTCCTCCAATGACAAGGACAGTCAAGTACATGCCAGGAAGCCAGTGTGATGAGTTCATCCTGGAGACCAAGGGGCACACGTTTTCCCTCCGGAGCCAGAAAGCAATGCTCGATGTGAGGACCAGAGTTTCTCCAGGAGAACCAACAGCTCAAACAGCAACTCATAGGAGAACTCACAATGCCTCAATGCCTCAACAAAATAGCTTCTCCTCTCCATGTCTCTATTTATGCCTGCAGGTGAAACATGTATGCTCAGCACCGTGCTGATGTAATCCAGCTGGCATTAAGTTGACCACCAGTTTTTAATCCATAACAGTTGGCTTAGAGGATGAACTGCTGGAGATGGGCAGAAGAGAGCCAGCATCAGATGAATAGGGCCTGTTTCATAGAATGGCATTTGTAAATGACTGAGGATGAAGATAGTAAAGACGCTGGTCAAGAGCTTGAGTGAACAACTGAGCACGTACTTATTATTTCTCTTTATTTTCTCACATTTACATACTCAGCAAATAATGTTTGAAAGTATAATAGAGTCCCTTGTTACGGAACAATTTGTAACATCATAATGTAATCGGGAAACAACATATCTGCGTCTGAAAGGTGAGTGGATCTGTAATTGTCAGGAGCCAGGTGGTTTGGGTCGATCTTGGCCTCCTAACACTCTTGGTATCCCACCCCACACCATCTTCCTCATGGATTCTCAAGTCTGTTTTTGACAATGGGGAGGAGACAAGAAAAGCAAAACCTTATTAGGGAATCAATCTTACCACAAAGATTCCTTGTAGAATGGAGTAATCATTCCAGGCCACTCCCCCAAATCTAATGAGGCAATTTCTGTCTACTCTGTTGGAGTGGAATCCAGCTGTAGAGATATTCTCTTCCTTGTTCATGCTCTAATCCCTACTTAGAAATATAATACCGAAATTACATGATTAAGGGAAAAATAACCCTTGAGAGCCAAATAATAAGCCATCTCTTCTTTAAAGTGTCAGAAACTATCTTAGCTACTTTTTTCATTGCTGAGACAAAATACCCAAAAGGAAACGTTTATTTAGCTCACAGTTTGTAGAGGTTTCAATCCATAATTACCTGGCTCCAAGGCAGGATGGCACAACAGAGGGGATCACAGAGGAGAAGCAGTTTATGGCAGGCAGAAGGTGGCAAAGCAGCAAAACAGCAAAGCGGCAAGCGACAAGTGACTCCAGCAGCCGTCTTTCTCTCCCTTGTATTCTGTCCAGGTTACAGGCCATTAAGGTGGGTGGCACTCAGGCCCAGAGTAGCCTTCCCATCATCCACTCTTAGATCTGTGCCTAACCAATCAGTGGAGTAACTTAGAAACCATAGGTTCTTCATCCCAGCATCATGCACCCTAGGTCCTGCCACCTCTGAAAAGCCCCACCTGTGAGTGCATGAGGTTTTGGGGGGCCACCAGGACACAGTCATAACGGAAGCTGCTCCTTCTGAGCAGGGCTGATGTTGCCAGTGGAAGTTGTGCCTTGTATGTACTCACACATTCCTACCACAGTCTGTTTTCCTCACAGAACTTTATTGTGGGTTTTTCCCCACACCCTTAAAAATAGACTATGTTGTTCCTTACTCTCCACTGAGGCGTCAAAGAACAGATATT